TTTCCCTGATGTCCATGCCATGAGCAAAGACTTCCCAAGTCACCGATGGCACACTTGCCACAGGTTGGCTTCCTGGGTCTGATGGGTTTAATAGCATTGGTTCAAGAACAGGCCGCTGCAGGGTCCTGTTCGCAGTGACTTCCCCATCTCACTTCACCAGTTTTGCCGTTTAATGTGGGCTGCGCTGCCTGTGTGGAGCTGCCGGCATCTCGCCCGGTCTCGCGGGACTTGGCTGGATGCCTCGGAGGCCTGGCCAAACAGCTGCTCACATCAATGCACTCGAGAGCCTCAGAAACCAAGTGTGACCAGACCTGTTTTCCGTAGGACTGTGTCAGTCAGTGTGAATCCGGCTGCCATGTCCTGCGCTCGCCTCTCTGCGACTCGCGTCAGACGCATGGTCGTGCTCCCTGGGCTGCTGCATTTGCCCCTTTAATACATCAGCAAGACGACAGCCATGGACTTTCCAGCTGCTCCAAGACTCGTTAAAAGTGTGCATTAACGGCTCCTTGAAACCGCCTTTTTTGCGTGTTTCCCAGCTGCAAATGTCTCAACGTTTCCTAGCTGCATCCTCTTAGTCACTAATGGCTCAGGGGCCTTTCAAGCCCATTGAAGATAGGAAAGCATCACCCCGCTCCCCTCGTCTTGCCCCCGCACGTGAGCAGGGCAAAGTCCTCCTCCGCTGGGCCAGGGGTAGTGACACCGATGTCCCTCTCTGGCGTCGGACCTGCATGGCTGCTACGACGCTGGCCTCTGTCGACTGCCGTCCTGCCAGAGGGGCCTTGCGTCCTCGCTGCCAGGAGCAAGCGCAGGGCATCCTCGTGCCGAGGGAGGGCAGCCCGGCCCCTGCTTCGTGCCTCTTGCTGCGCAGCGCGCTGCCAGCGATGTCCGTGCGCTCTGTGGCGCATCCCTCATCTTTGTGGCCGGTGGCATCCGTGTTGTCTGCTGCCGCCGTGCTGGCGCTTTACCGCATCGGCCGTGCAGCGTCGAGGGGAGCCGCCAAGTCCCGATTCCAGTGCTGCACCCGTGTCCAGGGGAGCGGTGTGTCTCTGCCCTGGCCCCGGGGCGGCCCGCCCCCCCCGCCGACACAAATGGCAGTGTGAGGCCTGGGTGGATGCGAGTACGAGCCCAGCTCTGGCCCTGGCCGCAGGGTTGGAGCCGGAGCTGAGCCTGGACAGGCGGCTGGGGGTTGGGGGAGATGGTGGGGGAACCGGCAGCCTGCTTCCCTCCCCTGCCCTTCTGCCCTGGCTCCAGGCAGGCCTGGGGGGACAAGGAGCCAGGGGAGCAAGCGGTGTAGGTTTGGCCCCCACCCCTGCCACTGGGAGGATGAGTTTCGGACGACCTTCCGCTGATTAGATTATCTCCCTGGAAAGTTATTGCACATTTACGAATTTCCGTGTACAGGGTCTATCTAATATCTAATTGCTGGGGGGCATCTGAAATCAGAAGTCATCTTGCATCCGGGTGAGCGTGGGCGGCTCGGCTCTGGCGTCCGCGGTGGCCTGTGGCTGGGAGAGCCACGAGGCAGTCACGGTTCTGGCCGCAGGGAGGAGAGCTTTGTCTCGGTGGCTTTGGCCAGTTGCCCCCCAGCTGCCTGCAGCACCCCAGAGATCTGGGATGGGGGGAGATGAAGTCAGAGACCCCAGTCACTTTTTCCACACTGCTTCACGCTCACGACCCCCTGCCAGGAGCCCCCGCCAGCCGAGCCGTCCTCGCGTGGGAGCCGCTGTCCGGCTGGGCCCTCTGCAGCGTCGCCCGCCCTTGCGCAGGGGAACGGCTCGGGGAAGGGCTGACTGCCGGGAGCCCCTTCTGCACCCCCTCTTCCGGGCTGGCGGTTGTCGTCGGAGGGAGCACGAGCTGCCCCTGGGCGCAGCCACCGGCTGGAGCCCCGGGCAGCGCACCAGGCCGGCGTCGAGGGGCGGGTCTGGGGCTTCTCTCTTCCCTCTCCGTCGTGTGGCAGGATGTCTGGACAGGCACCAAGGGCCAGCTGCACCCCTCCAGCCCAGAGCAGGGAGGCCCGAGGTTTGCCGCCCGCGCCGGGATCGCAGAACTGCTGCACCGGATTCCCGTTCTCCCCTTGCTGCAGCATTGCACCGTGGCGCAGGATGGCACCGCGGCCAGGCCGGGCCAGCCCAGGTTTCTCTCCACCCACAAGCGGGGAGTCAGACCCCGTGCAAGGTAAGGCGAAACAGCCGTGGGGGGCTGCGGCCCAGCTGCAGGTAGTCGGCAGCTAAGAGCCTGCCCGCCGAAGCTGGACCCGCTGAACCGAGATGGGGTGAAGAGTGCGAGAGCAGGCTGGGTGCAGCTCTGAAGGGAGCCCCAGGGTTTGGGTTTCCTTTGCTCCTGCACGTTTGCTGTTTGGCTGCAGGGACGAGGCTGCCCCAGGTGCAATAACCGGACCAGGGACCCGAGCTCAGAGCGGAGCCGCCTTGCCTGAGGCCGCCGGGAGCCGGGTTCCCCTCTCTTTTCAGTGCCGCGGCGGGCAGTCCCCGGCGCCTGGGCGAGGGCAGGCAGGACCCGCAGCCCCAGAGGCCTGTCTGCACCACAGACGAGAGCCGAGCCCGTTGCCTCCAGCGTGGTGGGTGGGCTGGAGGCCTGGCCGGGGAGTTGGCGTGGCGCGGCGCGGCGTGGCAGCGTGCGTGGGAGACGTCTGTGTTGGGAAGCGGCCTGGGGTTGCGCTGAGCCCTGGCAGCGCGTGGCCTGCGACCGTGCGCCCCCGGCCCTGCTCCCATCCCGGCCTTCGCTTCTTGGGGGTGGGGGAAGCAGCCGGTCCCTGCTGCAGGTGCCCCTCCCCCCCTGCCCCATGCCATCCTAATTGCCAACTCGTTGTCCGGCGCGACTCATTAATGTCCTGGCTGCTCGCGTGGGTGTCCTTGCGGCTGCTTTCATCCCCAGTGACGAGGGCGGCTCTAATTGAGGAAGTGCCGTGACCCCGCCGGTGCCTCTTGGCCGCCCTCGCGCTGGGACTGTGCTGGGCAAAGCCGCGGCTCTGGGCTCTCCGCTGCGCACAGCTGCCCGGTGACCACGGCCAGCACGCTCGCTCGCTCGCTCACCCTGTGCCACGCAAGCAATGTGACACTGCGATTGCGCTGCTCTAGGACACTGGAGGCGTGCATGGAGCTTGTCTGCTCACCTCTGCCTGCCGGAGGGTCCAGGACAGCCTCGTGTCACGTACCACGCGATGTGTGTGGTTTAAGTGGCTGTTTGTCCACTGCCCGTCCGTGGCAGACCCCTGCCCTCCCGCTCTCGGGGCTGGGGGTGTGTCGGACTTGGTGACTGGGATGCCAGCGGGGGTCTTGGGGCTCCTAGGCTGCCCGGGATGCTACGCTGGAAGCTGACTAATTAGAGAGCAGGAAGGGACAGGGACAGGGCAGGGAGCAGGGGTGCGAGGGAGGAAGCGAGGCCACATTGTTGGAGACCCCGAGGGGCCAGGCCCGCCAGCGACCCCCGCACGGAGGGAGCAGCCAAGCGCGGGGGTCGAGGGGGGGACACGGATGCAGTGAGGACAGCCTGGGCTGCAGCTCTGTCCGGCGGCACGGGTGTCCTTGTGGGGTGGGGGCGCAGGGGCCCACGTGCATGCGTCTGCCCCCAGCGTATGCGGCCCCCGGGCTCAGCCGGCAGCAGGAACAAGGCCGGGTGCGGGGGGCCGAGGCGTGGTGCCGACCTG